TTTTTTCAGGCGGTTCTCAGTTGCGCCACAAGTATGACACTCGTGCCAATAGCAAAAGGCTGAAAGTGACAGGCACCAGCATTGCTACTGATGCTAATGGCAATGTTACATCCAATAGTCGGGTGCAATGTTCAGAACCATCGAAAATAAGCCGAAACGATGAAATGTGTGTCAACCTTCAAACTGGACTACGTGCCCCGGGTGCTGGTCCTGGACTTGAAGATGAGCATGTGTCTCCTCAAGGGAACACGCTCGAGGATGCTGAAAATATGTTTGTGGAAGAGGGGCGTCATGACTCTCGTGCGAAAGGGGATAGTTGTCAGGGGGATCGGTCGGGTGACGCTGGTAAATGTGTGTTAAGTGATGATAAAGAAGAAACCTCCACTGATGGTTCCGGTGATCGTGTTGAATCTGCATTCAAAAGAAGGACCAGTCGACGTGTGAAAAAGAATATTTTGGCTTCGCCCGATGCCCTTGAGCCCACCCTTCGTGATGATCGGGTGACTAACAAAGTTGTTAGTCCTGAAACTGCGACTCGGGTTCTGAGAGCACTTCGCACGATCCCTACTGATGTGCTTTTCGACGATGATCATGATCCGTGTTTGAAGTCCCAACGTGGTGAAGGTGAAGGAATTGCTCGTGCCCCGTCCCAAACACGAAATTGTGCGACAGTTGTTGAGGTGCCCGATGATAGCAATCCCCCCCCACCAGTTGCACGTGTTCCTCATCCGAGCGCTTACCTCTCTCAATGGTTTGATGATGCAAAGAAGGTTGGTTTGCGAAAGGTCTTGAATGAGATATTTTTCGAAATGTTTGTGAAGACTGCGACGGTCGTGAAGGATGAATGAATATGGGAAAAGTTCCTTGATTGGCAGAGAACTAAACTCACTAATATGCGCTTATAACGACAATCCTCTCTGCCCTCCAATCCGTTGAATATTTCGGATGTGGAGTCCAGCTGGATGTTTCAATCCCTTCTGCACGATGAGTACATTGCGCTCTCCAATGATGAGATTGTAAGAATGACATTTGATTTGCCCTATTGTCCGACGGATGGGACTATTCCGGAGCCCTTCTTCAAATATGCTCGGATAAAAAGTCTCATCAAAAGAATTTTTGTCGGTGTTGCTTCTTCCGCTCCTCCTTCGGCCACTGTCCGTCCAGTGTCATTACTGGCACCGTCTCCTGCAAATTTTCAACGTCTTGCAGATTATGCTTCGCCGTCCAATGTGGGAACGCCCATCGTCACTGCTTCTACAGTTGTTTTTGCTTCGCCTGCCGTTATGTTTACTCCATCTCCTGCTCCTTGCGTTGTCCCCGCTCCTGTCTCACCAGCTGCATGTCCGTATAGGAGGTTTGCCAGAAGTCACTGCTTCTACTTCTGATATTGCCGTCTATGAGTCACTTGCATCCGTTGGTCCCAAAAAAGTGCATGCGCATCTCTCCTATCTTGATAGCTCTCACAAGTTGCAAGATATCGCGCAAGCGGCTGAGGAGTTGCATACGGATATGAACACGTGGAGGTCTGTTGATGCTGCCATCCATCCTTACTACAATCGGCAGCGACAAAGTCGATTTCAAACTTTTGAGGATTATCGCCGGAAAGTGCTGCAACAGAGTTCTGTTTGTGACATGTTGCGAGAGTTTCGTTCCACTGATGGAAGTTGATTGCTCTTACATAAGATGGGGGGAGAGAGAGAGAGAGAGAGAGAGAGAGAGAGAGAGA